AGTCCCGGAAGATCTAAGATGCGGGCGGGCATTGCGTCGCCATAGATGAAGGCTATACAAGCAGGCAATAACGCAACAACTTTTAGAGTTGTAATTATCGTGATGTTTCATTCACTCCAAGATGGTCCACTCCAAAAAGATATTTTTAGAGTGAGCAGTCCGAAGCTCTTGCTGGTTAATTCTCCCTAACTTGAACTTCAGTACTTCAGTAATCGTCCGTCACACATTAACAACCAATTTTGTTGAATAAATATTAATATATTTAATACATCATTGGCCTGTGAGGACAGGGTTTATGTTTCACCGTGGTATCTACGGTAATAGCTTATCTAGAGTTATTATTTGCTTGAAATTAATTATTGCGGTGAACAACTACAGTACACTAACGATAACCAAACAGTAGAATAAAATAACAAACAGTAGTAGAGCTCAAAAGTATATTTATAACCTTTATATCACGGCGGATTCAGATTGGACTTACGAATTTGCTTGAGACGCATAAACAAAACAGGGAGCTAAAATTTCTTGTTCTCCTTGTGAGCTGCCACCCTGACAGCTGACTACCTGGCTCGCAGTCGTGGCTTACGTCCCCAGGATTAAAACCTTTTCGACCCTTTACTAATTGTTGTGGTTTTCGTCCCCCAGCTTATAGCCATAAACATTCGTGGCTTTCGGGACGCAGCCGAACTAGCCCTTCAACGGGTCGTCCGGCGTAGACTTCTTGACGGCGTAGGTGCATCCGGCGGCAACTCGCGTGCGGTTCGGCGAATTCGCTGTCAGTCAGGGCGCAGGCGCGCGACGGACATCGTGTAAAAAAAAACTTCTATAAAAACTCCCATAGCCCATCGCCGCATGACCGTGTGAAAGAGGTCTTAGATTTTTTATTTAAACAGTTTTAGAAAAAGTAAAAAAAAAAACAATTTAGCAGCCATTTTTCCAATATGGCCCCCAACTTTGATTTATATTATGGAAGACCCTATATTTTATGCTAAGAGTAAATAAGTCTTAAAATTGCTTCCACATTCTAAAAAGGCCATCAAATATTTTAAAACTTTGTGCCATGGGATCATTATCTTTTATGTTTTTTAACTTAAGCAGGGTGTCCACATTCTGGAAAGTCAGGGATAGTCAGGGAAAGTCATGGAAAAAAATTCTGGTCATTGAAAGTCATGGAAATAGGCAAAAAGTCATGGAAAGTCATGGAAATCCCCAATAATGGATGGATTTGACAGGACTTAATGCTCTAGTCGGCCACAACGCCGACTATTGTAGCATTTTTCTGAATTTTTCATAAATTCACAACAATTAAATTTATTACAGCTTACAACACAAATACTATTACAACTCAAACTTCAATACAAATATTGTTATAATGTTTTGATTTGTCTTAAGTTATGTCTATTTTGATAACCTAATTTTTTGAAACACTGTAAACTCAATAAAAAATTAATAATAAAAAGTATACAGTAAGGAAAAAAGAAAGAGTAGAGAGAACTAACCAGCTATGGGGACGGAGTAGACTGCGTTTTCTTTTTTCCTTCCATATTTTGAATACCATATTATTTTTACAAAATTTATTACTCTATTGTTATCTGTTAAATACATATTTAAGTATTTTCTGTGAAATAACTTGTCTAGGCAGTATTTTGTGTGTGTATGTTACATTATAATTTTTGAGTAAAGTTCGTGAGTCATGGAAATCGATAGTAAATGGTCATGGATAGTCATGGAAAGTCATGGAAATCAATGAAAAATTTTCTGTGGACACCCTGTAAGGTCTTTTTAGACTGTACCTAGATGAAATTTTAAGACTTTGTTACCCTTAGCATTTTATCTCTAAACTTACTCATTTAAGAGATACATGGCGTCGAATGTAGGTCTTTACACGGCACATAATTTTTTCTTAGTTTTAACACACTGTAACTCCTAAATGAGTAGCTTTAGAGAAGAAATTCAAATAATACAAACTTTTTCAATGGCATATACATTCTAAATAAATCATCAACTATAGAGTCTTATATTAGGGTCTAATGAAACCCTAACCAGTCGCAAAATAGTTAGTAATCAGAATTTGATCAGGCATTTTCCTTATAGAATATGTAAAGTCAATTGCACCTTAGGAGGATTACCACCAAATATATTTACACTAGACTAATAGTAGTTTTTGTAATGTCGAACAGAATCAAATTTAGGGTTAAGTTATGTCAGTGGGATGCCTTTACTTTACACTAATTTTGTCAAACCTTTACAAAATGAGCGTAGTCCTAAACATAGAAATAATAACTTGGTCGGTGTGCTAATTTAGCGGTTTTCACTAAGAACTAAGCTTATCTCAACAAACCTTTATTCACCTTTTCATATTTGACGATGACAAGTTCAAATATTTCAATCAGGGAAGCCTTTTTATTTTCATTATTTTTATCATAAAGGAAAAAAAACAATAAACTGTAAAAAAAGTGATGTACTGAGATATCTGAAGAAAATTTGATTCTGAGGTTATTTAAACAATACAATAATTGTTTTACATTGGAACTTTTTAGGGACTTATGTCCCTACAAGCCACTAGTGTTTAATACTGTAATTATTTTTTTATATTTGGGTATCGGAATAGTTTGCTTAAGTAACAATGGCATGAATAAAACTGTTTATCTAATAAACAACTCATGTTTACATGTTATGTTAATGTAGAGTACGTTCCAAAAATGCATAAACATTCATAGGCCCACGTGAGTACAAATAATTACGGTTATGAGGTATAGAACCAAGATACTTGTTCTTTAATCGGTTTTCGCGGAGAATGTCATTTTATGTCACATGTCACACTGTGTACAAGTAAAAACTATCGCTACGTTCCTATCGGAAATTCCGTGAAGAAGTTTTAAACTTTCCATTAAGGTTCCAAGGTCTCGCTCAAAATCACTTAATATTGATATTAAAATTATTCTCTGGCATCGCTCAGGTCCTGCACCAGGACCTTGAAACCAGCGGGGACCTCGGAAAATCACACCGATCGCCTCGGAACCGGCCTTATACGCACGCACGCAAAAATTCACAAACTTTTAGATTTATAATATTAGTAAGATGAAACATTGACTATATATGTGGTATAAAGTCAGGATGAAACTGTTTATGGGCTAAGTTAAGCTGAAATAAACAAAACAGAATCCTGAACACCAAGGAAACTAACGATGTTATTTTAACACCAACATTAACTTATTTCTGCTGAACTTATTTAACTTATTTCTGCCGAACTTATTTAACTTATTTCTGCCGATTGCACGATGGTTTTTTGTTACCAATTTAAACTGATGTAATGATTTATTCTGAGCTATAGCAACTGTTATGGCCCAGCAACTATGCAAGTAACAAAAATTAAAGTATCCAATAGTTAATGATATAATATAAATGAAGATTTTTTATATCTCCATCGTACTTGTAATAACGAGCTAGCAAAAAAATTGACGTGAGAGTTATTAAAACTATCACTAAGAATATTACAACTCTAAAAGCTGTTGCGTTATTGCCTGCCTAGCCTTCATCTCTGGCGACGCAATGCCCGCCCGCATCTTAGACCTTCCGGGACTCGAATCTTAGACCTTCCGGCACTCGAATCTTAGACCTTCTGGGACTCGAATCTTAGACCTTCAGTAACTCTCGTTTTATAAACATTTATTTTGAAGATATACATTGTGTGCCCAAGGTCTAATCCCGCAAGGTCTAAAACAATATCAGTGGATGAGTTTTTTGCATTTACTGTACTCTTAGACCTTCCGGGACTTAGACCTTCGACATACTGCCAGATTAGACCCTCAACAACAAGTACAAACTGCAAAATGTGTGTCGAAGGTCTAATTAGAAACACTCCCATTCCCGACTCACCCGTTTTTTCCCAACTAGACACCATATAAAAATAATAAATTTTGTTTACAAATATCAAACTTTGAGGTTCCTACTATTTTTTTAAACTTCATTTTTCTAACTTAACCAATAAGAATGTGAATCCTAATCCCAAGCCCCCAAGCCCCCTCCTTTAGCCGCCTCTGTTTATACATTATTTTGTTGCTGACCAGGTTGACGGGTCATAACAGTTGCTATAGCTCACCATAAGTCATTCCATTGGTAAAAAAGTTTGTGTATTCAACAGAATTTAGTAATTTAGATCGGCACAACCTGTCGGGGCTAACATCAATTAATTACAACAATTTTCATAAAGAATCTGGCTACAAATTTAATATGGGGATGGAATGTCTAGTTATATTAATAGTCAAAGACATTAGTAAAGTTTGTTAAGTTAGTGAGTTCAAGTTTTAAAGTTTGATAAAACTAAAATAAGTTGACTGTTTCTAAGAATTGTATTTTTATACACAGTCTTATTTTTATAATCGTAACAATTAAGTTCAAAACAATAACAAAAATCAAATTCATTCAGCTGCTATTTATTATTAGCCTTACTAAATCCATGCCTTTGGCTGAGGTAATGTCACAAATTTTCTGCACCATACACAATTTAGGGCCATCTGCTTTACTTTTATCATACGTGTCCAAAAATATACAGATCTTTACATTTTCATACAAATAACGAACAAAAAGTGACAGTTACAACAAAAGTGTACCGGACATTATTGTAGACAATGTTATAGCAAACAGAATAAAACAAACTGTAATTTGATATGTTGTTTTATAAGCTAGGAAAACATAATTTACAAAACCCTTACACTTTTTATGTGTAGGGGCCCCGCCTTTTGGCTGGACACTTGTATAAATTGTAGTAATCGATGGAAAAAACATTATACAATTTTTTCCCCCACTAAAAATACAGATTCACTTGACTACTTGCTTTCTCTTGACTGATATTCCCCACGTGCTTTTTGGCTTTTCCCTTATTTTTACTTCCTTGCGAGTTCCACTCTAGAGCATTCCGGCTAATAGTGTTGTTTCCCTTCCTTAACACAAAATGTATTGGGAGTATTTTGCTACTTGTTATCCTGCTTTAATTACAGGATCTGAAAGCGGGAGTTGCACAAGAGAGTGTAGTGTTACACTTGTCCGTATGGATGACAAACTTGCCAAGAAACAGACTTCAACTGGCAGTTTGATGAAACAAGACAATTCAACTCACTCAAAATCAGAAAAAAATTATGTTGATTTGAATGAGGAGCAAACAAAACAGCTCCCTTACTCCATATCAATGAAAGGTATGCTAAGCATAACTTTGGGATATATTATTCCAAAACCATTCCATCTAGAAAAGTCCAATTAGTTTTAAATGCTTTGCCATAATGTTATCTACGAGAAAATACATTTCAAATTTCTTTAGAATAAGCTATGTTTTTGACATCCTAAATGACAGTTATACTAGAGTCACTGACTTAAGTTCACTTAGTTCCTGTATATATATATACAGGGTGAATAAAAAGTCAAGACCCCAACCCCCCCCCCCCCCCGCTCTAATATTTTCCCAAGTAAATATACAGAGATCCTTTGGGTGGTCGTGCAATCTTAGCAGGAAGTTTTTTTATGATTTTGAAATTTTTAAGTGTCCCCCTTTTGGGGAAAAGGGGGATTTGGGAGGCAACTCAAATATTTTAAATGTAAACCCCCTTCAAGTGACACCTCATTTTGAAGTGTTTACAAAAATTTAAAGGATGGTGAAAACTAGAGGTCGCTATCTCTTCTCTATCCAAATTTGTAGCCCGTCAAATGTTGTGGAAAATCAGTTGCAATATTGGTTCGTAATTGTAATATTGGCTATCATTTTGGATAGAGAAGAGATAGCAAACTCTGATTTTGTTGGAATTCACATCAATATTGAATTAAATTATATTTAAGTTGGTAAAAGCTTTAAAAAACTTTAAATCGGATAGCTATTACTACTTTCAACACTCTTTTATTTACAATTTGAACTCACAACAATAAGCTTTTAAATCATAACTGAATCTTAGCAATGAAACATCAAGTACAAAGAGAATAAAATATATAACAGCTGATTCAAATTATTACACTAGCTGTATATAATTATCTGACAACTTCTAACATCCTCCCACCAAGTTCATGGAACATTTTACACGTGAAATGAACTTTAATAAACTATTCATAACCAATTTGTATTTTAAAGAGAAGTTATTACGTTGAATTGTTTCTACCATTTTTAAGTAATGTTCTCAAGTTTAGTTTTTATATCTCTTCGGAACACACATAGGTCTTCCTCGTCTGGTTTCTTTTGTGATTGATACATGTTCTACATTTGACACATTTTCTTAATTAAAGTCACAGTTTTTGATAGTCTTGTTCTTCATTAGAGTATTGTTTTTGAACCGATAAATCCATCCAATAGTTCTAACAGCTTTCTTATATGTTGAACAATTCATGTACAACCACTCATTGTCTGTAGTATTGTTAACAGCAGAAATAACAGTTCTTTTCTTTTTGCTGTTAATATCATCCTCATCGTATAGAGTTTCATCTTGACGAGGCCATTTTTCTGGAGATGCTGTAATCCAAGTTGGGCCCTCCCACCATCTTGACTCAAGTAGTCTCTGAACAGAGCATCCTCTTGAGGGAAGATCAGCTGGATTATTGTTTCCGGGAACAACTCTCCATTCATGCTTTGAAATTAATCTTGTGATTTCTGACACTCGGTTGTTGACGAATACATTCCAATTATCTTCCCGTTTAATCCATGCTTAAACTGTTGTTGCATCAGTCCAGAAATAAGTTGCTACATCATTTATTCATTTATTCGCTCAGCGCCGGTCATAGTTCCAAGTCAAAAACGATTTTCACGAAAACGCCGCTCGCCGCTCAGGTGAGTCATGCTTCAGCTAGGCCTAAAATGACAGGGAAACAGCAGCAAACATGCGATACGGGTCGATACGTGAGGTGCAGTCCAGGGAATTTTTGTGGAATGACCAGCACGGAAGTTTTAAAACACTTCAGTCACCATAAAAGTATGGAACAAAGTTAGGGTTAAGGTTTTTCTAAAAACTAAGTTTTTCATTAAAGACAAACAATTGTCAGATAGTAACAATAGTTGCAATACGTCTTGCAGGTAAGCATAGTTTACCATTTTCGACTAAACTGACTCAAAACTGGGGAAATTTCATGAGCGTTATAAAAGTGCCGCTCGTATCGTAGCCACCACCGCCGCTTACGTGCCGCTCACTACTCGCCGCTTGTATCGTACCCGATGCCTTACTCTCAGGTTTTGCGCTAAAAGGTGTATGTTATGTATCATACAAATTATGTAAGCTGACTTCATTTCCAAATAAATCTGGTTTATCTTTACAAACGAGCTTTGTGGTCCATCTTAAGGCATGACTTCACTGTTTGAAAACTAATGTTTTATAGCAAATATTACTATGAACTTGTGAACTGTTCACATAAGTTATTTTTAAAAAATTTTTACAAAAGTGGAAGATTCCGCCTTTTTTGATGGATGTACTACACCTCTCGAATCCACGAAGACACTGAAATAAACAACGTCTGCGCATGCGCTAGACCGAGTCGGGACGGCCCCGTGTCGACCTGTGTGAACGTGTCCATAAGAGACCATGGTGTTCAAGAGGTTGAGTACGGCCCGACGCCGCGTCGTCGCTTGATGGATGTCGTGATGTCCACGGCCACCGTGGACGGCGCGGCGCCGTGGTCGATACGTGTGAACAGTTGCATTTACAGCAATGCTATTGAATAAACACGACGTCGTGCCGTACACGGCGCACGGCAGAAAGTCGATACGTGTGAACGAGGCCTTAGTGACACTTCGTTTTACCCCCACCGCAGAAAACCTGCTGATGAAGGAAACTTTCAATTTCCTTATCTGGATTCCTACTAAAATATTTCCATACACAAAACAAATTTATTTCCCAGCTTGAACAACATTAGATTTTTATGATTTAACAAGTAATTAGGTTTGCTGCTTTGGGATGAGTAAAAAGTGTTTCTCTACAAAATGTTTAGTATAGGGTAAAATAAATAAAATTCGCGAAATTTTGGACAAGATATATCCATAAACAAGCAAACTACAACAGTTATCTTAATGTTTATAAGAATGGCATAGGAATTTTAAATTTACAATATTAAGAATTAAAACTCAATCTCATTACATTAAGTTTCTCACACCCTAAACCTTCTACCAAAATCTCATGAAAATCAGACAAAAATTAATCGCGTCCACGTACTATTGTTATATGTATACAGGGTGATTGATATAAGTGTGCCAGCTGTTTTATTCGAAAACCATAAGAGATATAAAAAAAGTTAAATGGTAAGTGCCTTGGACTTTTTATTTAAAAAATTGTAGTAAAGTCGAAAAAATTATTTTAGCCGCCATTTTTCCAATATGGCCGCCAACTTTGATTTTTCTTATGGAACATCCTGTATTTTATGATGTATTCTGGTAGAAAATGTAATTTTAAGACGATTTTATTCTTGTAATTTTTTTCATAAACCTAACCGTTTCAAAGATAATAATGGTTTAAGTTGTGAAATTTTGAATGGTTTTCGAATAAAACAGCTGGCATGCTTGCTTAGGCCTGTATCGAAACTCTTTCTCATGCAAAAATTTCAAAACTTTAACCATTATTATCTTTGAAACGGATAGGTTTATGAAAAAAATTACAAGAATAAAATCGTCTTAAAATTACATTTTCTACCAGCATCATAAAATACAGGATGTTCCATAAGAAAAATCAAAGTTGGCGGCCATATTGGAAAAATGGCGGCTAAAATAATTTTTTCAACTTTACTACAATTTTTTAAATAAAAAGTCCAAGGCTTTTACCATTTAACTTTTTTTGATATCTCTTATGGTTTTCGAATAAAACAGCTGGCACACTTATATCAATCACCCTGTATAACAATCTGAACCAATAGTGTTTTTAGCCACTGTGCACATCAAAATGAAAAAGTAAATCGGTCCCGGGCCTGGGTCTTTCCATACCACCTATGTTAATAGCAGTGTTGGGAAGTAGCGCGCTACAAGTAGCGACGCTACAGTAGCGCGCTACTTTTTTTGTAGCGTTAGCTGTAGCTACGCTACTTTTAAGATTTTGTAGCTTTAGCTATAGCTAGCTACATTTTTAAAGTAGCTGTAGCGGAATTTAAGCTACTTTTCTCGCTACATTAACATTGTTTGAGATAGTGATTATTATCATAACCTCAACCTTACGTGAAACAACCTCTTTCAAACTGAGATTTTCAAAAAAATTAGGCCTACTTTCTTGGCTTCATACAGCTTGACAAATAACATATGTTTAATATTCATTTGTTTATGTTGTGTTTGTAAATATTTACTTTTGGTTTTATAAAGATAGTTAATGCCAAACTATGACTTTTAATTTATAATCATGGCGCAGTCGTAAAGTTTAAATAGAAGAAGAGAAAGTAAAGTTTAAATATTATGGAGTTCAATAAACCAGATCCACTGAACCTATCGGAGGGAAACATTTCAGACAAATTTAAACAGTTTAAGGAAGAAATCTACATTTACTTTATTGCTACAAAAACAACGAAAGAAAGTAAGGAAATTCAATTAGCCAGACTGAAAAATCTACTGGGGACAGATGGTTTGAAATTGTACAACTCAATAAAAGATGAGTCTGTGGTTGAAACTGTTGAAAACGTGATGAAGACATTGGAAAAACACTGTGTACCAAAACAAAATATGACCATGAGCATTCATCTTTTATTTTCAAGGAAACAACTACCTCATGAAAATTTTGACTCGTTTTACGCAGACCTCAGAAATCTAATAAGATGTTGCAAGTTTGAAGAACAGGAAGAAAAAATATTGAGAGCACTTATAATTCTAGGAGTGAATAATAAAGAGTTGCAGGAAAAACTACTAAGAGAAGATACAAGTTTTGATAGAGTAATCAACTTCTGTAAAGCATCTGAACTTGCAGAAAAAAATGTGCGACTTGTCAATAATAAAGGTAAAACAGATCAAAACAATTTTGAAGTTGACACGGTCGTGAATTCTAAATTTACAGATGGACAGGGCATGAGTGCAATACGACGTTTTAATCAGCAGCAGCAGCAGGGGTATAACACGTCACAAGGAGGTTACAACAGACAGGTATGCGAAACTAATAATTGTTATAGATGTGGTGGTATCCATCATGGAATGTGTCCTGCAATAGGAAGAATCTGTAAAAAATGTGGTAAGCCAAACCACTTTGCTAGTGTTTGCCGAAATAATAATAAATTCCTTGGTTCAAAACAATGTAATAATTTGCAAAATGTTTGTGATAACAGCATGTCAGTTGAAGACAATCATGAATCAGACATTAATAGCCTTTGTGTGGTTGATAGCATAAAAAATAAAAACGCTTGGTATAAGACTCTTCTGGTAGAAGGCAAAGAAATAAAATTCAAACTTGACAGTGGGGCAGATGTCAATGTATTGCCATTTCGCTATTTAAGAAATCTAAACTTGCCTAGTAAATTGAAGCCTTGTAACACCACATTGCAGTCATTTGGGGGGTTTTCCATTAAGCCTTGTGGTATAATCGATGTTCAAATTGAAACCGATCAAAAGATTGATGTAGTTAGTTTTTTTAATTGTAAAAAATGAAAACACAGTACCTATTTTAGGACTTGAAACATGTATTAAATTTAACCTACTAAAACGAATTGACAGTGTCAGAAATGAAAATGGTTGTAATACCGACCTAGAGAAAGAGAAGTTAAAAATCTTTGAGGAAAATAAAGATGTTTTTGAAGGATTAGGCTGTTTCCCGGATAAATGTAAAATCAAAATAAAAGAGGGCGCACAACCCACAATTAGTACTGCAAGGAGGCTACCTCTAAAAATTAAAGATAAGTTTAAAGAGACCTTGGACTCTCTTGTGAAAAGAGGCATCATACAACCTGTTGAAGAACCAGTAAATTGGGTAAGTAATGTTGTTGTGGTGGAAAAGCCCAATGGGTCCTTAAGAATTTGTATTGATCCAATAGAGTTAAATAAAAATATTGTGCAAGAGAAGTTCACAATTCCAACTTTGAATGAAATTTCTCCTATGCTAAACAACAAAACTCATTTCTCCATCTTAGATTTAAAGGATGGGTTTTATCATGTACGCTTAGACGAGGAATCAAGTAACCTTTGTTCTTTTGCAACTGTATTTGGAACATATAAATTTCTGAGAGCTCCTTTTGGTCTGTCTTGTATGCCTGAAATGTTTCAAAGGCTTGTAAGTAAATACTTTGGTGATATACCAGGAGTGTCAGTTTATTTCGACGATCTTTGCATAGCAAGCAGATCTAAAGAAAAAAATGATAGAAACTCAGAAAGCACAAAAGTCACATTATGATAGAAAGTCTTTAAACCGTGAAGATAGCTTTACTGAAGGGCAGGAAGTATGGGTTCAAGATGTATTCAATAAAACATGGGATGAAGGAGTAATAGAGAAGAAACTTCAACAACCCAGATCTTATTTAGTTTCTATTAAAGACAAGGGTATAAAGAGAAGAAATAATAGATTTATAAAAAAAAGATTAGGACTCCAAGCTCAAGGGGAAGATGACAAATAACATATGTTTAATATTCATTTGTTTATGTTGTGTTTGTAAATATTTACTTTTGGTTTTATAAAGATAGTTAATACCAAACTATGACTTTTAATTTATAATCACAGCTGGTTGCAGCCGTTTCATTCCCTATTACAAGTACAACGTTGTGTGGACATGGAGGCTATTAAATTAGTGTTATCCACATTTTTGGCTCTCATTTCCTTAATTTACTACTCTATGATTACTGTCAGATAAAATAAAATCGCTAGTTGCAGACGACGTTCAAACGTTACCGGTGACAAGAGAAGCTATTGAATGCTTGCAAGTGATTAACAGGGAAATTAGTTATCAATTTAGTTTCTTTGTTATATTGATAGTGTTTCAACTTGGGTTTTAATGGAAACCAACACTAAACCTTAAAATAATGAGAAAGCTGGTCTAGCTTCAGCTGTTGATTTGTGGTTCATCATCACAAGCCCTTCCTTGGTTAGATTACGAAGATTTTTCAAAGGCTTACTAAATTAACAAAGAGGAAATTACCTGATGAGATTTAAGATATGCCTAGACTACATGATAATTGTAACGAAAAAATCCCCATATAACATGAAACTTAGATTGAAAAAATAGCATAGTTTACTCCTGCTAACAGCTCTTGTATAGGACTATTCCTAGGCTATGCTATGATTTAAGACGAATACCAAGTTCCAAGTTCAATTATTAGGAATATATCTGTTTAGTCCTTGAAAGAACAAGCCTACTATAGCCAACTTGTTACATAGCCAAGTAGACATACATGTTATTTTTAATTTACAAATTTCAACATGTTTAAATCAAAAGCCGATTTCAGAATAGGTTGCTGAATACTGTTTTCTGTACCAACTAGGTTGAAGCACAATTGGCCCTATGCATAATTACAATAAAGGATGATTTCTTGACATTGAAAAGTGTTATTCATAGAACAAAAGTTACTTATCATTATGGTTAAAAGTTATAGCAATGTCGTGTTTAACATTAAAAGTAAAAAAGGCAATAAACTCCAATTTCAGTAGGCTAGGCTCTGTAACACAAAAAAGTATTTTTAAATAATCGTTTTACAGTTTTATTGGTCTTAATTGTTGATATAAGACATCTATAAATGAATCTATATATTAAAGAAATAAAATGAGCTTTTAAAATATAGTTTGGTTGTATGTCCTTTGAACTTAATGAAATTTACATATAAGATGCTTACAAATAATGCAATATTTCAAAATAAGTAATAATATGATGGAACACCCAACAAACTTATTTTGGTTCTGTTGTTGTAATGTTAGGTTTATATAGTTGCAATTAATTTTACATTTACCTAATGTGCGTGGAATAAAAAGTAACGTCTTTGGAAAAGTAGCTAAAATTGTAGCTATAGCTACATTTCATTGTAGCTGTAGTTGTAGCTAGCTACTTTTTCGGAACTGTAGCTGTAGCTGTAGCTAAGCTACTTTTTTGGAAATTTAGCAGTAGTTGTAGCTAGCTACATTTTAAAAGTAGCTTCCCCAACACTGGTTAATAGCTACTTCCATATTAGGGACTACTTCTTATAGGGAAATTCGCTAAAACAACTTGGTGAGGTGGAAATAAAAATAAAACAGATGGAAACTCTGAATTTTTAACTAGAAAAGTAAACAAACAAAGGTAAAGAGAGTTCTGTTGCTTCTCAACCAAGTAAATAATTAAAGGTTAAAATAATTATAACAGTAAATCAAATAAATTGTATATACTGTTAACATTTTATATCAGCTAAATAAATGTACATAAAGGCTATATTTGCTATATTTGTGTGTACTACAAATATAGCATGCTAAATCAGTTTAAATTAGGCCTAATATGAAAATAATACTTCTTTTACATAATATCCACTAGTATAGGTATTAAATGTTTATTTAATAAAATAAATGAAGTAATACAATTAACTCTAACACACACACTGCGCCTCTGCGAGGTTATAAAAATCAAGCAACAGACACAGTAAACATTATCCATGAACCGGCAACCGGGCTCTCGAAGTTGTGTTGGGCATGTACAATGGGAAACAATGCCATTGTTTGCGCTTCCGTTGGTAACGCAGATTTTCAGGGCTCGATATTGCCGCTAGGAGAAGCACACTACTAGGCTAAAAAACGCCTACGCTAAACTCCATATGTTTGCCTATCTCATTATATTACTTCATCTATGATACAACAACAAAAAATTATATATTTCTCATCAACTTAATATAAACAACAAAACATCATTTATTTGTTCAAGTTTCAAATACAAAATACATAAAGTTTTTAATGTTAAAAATTGTCTTAAATATATTTGGTATTCAGATTGGTTCATATGATTATCATTGCCCATATTATAATTTGTTAAGTATAAATTGTTTGTGGACATAAATTGATGGTGTTTTTCAGACTGCTCAATAAAAGTTCAAAAATTAGAACAAGAACTCCAAAAATTTGATGCATCTTTATCTCCATCAAAAGAAAAAAAGCAGCCGACTTTAAATTTATCTTTAAGCAGCTCACCAAAGATGCCAGAATTCATTCCCATAAAAAAAGATCCTACTTCAAATTCATCAAGCAGTTCACCAAGGAAGTCAGAACACATTACCATAAAAAAAGATTCTACTTCAAATTCATCTTTAAGCAGCTCCAAAAAAATGTCAGATGACATTGCTATAAAATATAGCCCACAAAAGATGTCAAAAAACATTACAATAAAAAAAGATGGACCAAAAAGCATATCCCCAGGAAAAAAACCAAAGGTCTTAAATTTGTATTCCGATTCCGACAAGAAGAAAACTACACTGATAAAAGAACCATGTAGTAACGAATCACATATCACTGAAAGCAGTTTGTTTCTTCAACCTGTCATTCAATCAAGAAATGATGACAATGCTAAGAATAACCAAAGTTCTAAAAGGGCAAATGCGCTGCTTTACAACTTTGATGTCAAAGTTGTCAACATTGTGGAACCAAAATTACCAATTAATCCAACTTTCAAATTACCCCCGGCCTGTCCTGAAAAAAGAAAACCCCCTGTTGATAAGCCTGAGATCTTCAGAAAGCCATTTAGCAGGACAAGCAAAACTCTTATTGATGTTACAAGGGATTTTGGGGAAACCGCAGCAGTTAGTGATCCAGACCCATTGTGTCAGTCAAACAACCAGGAAGATGACAATGATGATAATCAGTCTTGCATTTCGTTAGCAGCCGCCACACATCTGATAAAGTAAGTCAATACTTATCGATTTTTATTTTTTAAATACAATACATTACAATACAATATTATTTATTGTTCATTCGTTAAGAATTACAATAGTGTCAATACAATTCACTAATTGTATGTTTTAATTTCAATAATTTTTGTAAAATTCCTTTATTGTGTAGAAGGGTCTTGCGATTAGCCACTTCTTCAACTCCTGGTGTAGCTTGTTGCCAGTCAGGTCTCTCAGGTAGTCAGGTAGATGGTTCCTCAGTTTGCAGCCGGTGTAGGAAGGTTTTTTTCCCAAAGAGTTGTTCGGTGAACTGGTAGGGCAAATTTGGAGCCATGACGGGTGTTGTAGTGGTGCAGGTCTTGGTTTCTTGGGGGGTTTATTTCATCCACATACTTTATGGCTTCAAGTATGTAGAGAGACACCACTGTGAGGATTCCTAGGTTTGTGAATGCTAGTCTGCAAGTCTGTGGTGGGACAAGGTTGGCGATTCATATTTTTTGTTGAAGTTCCTCCCCACACTGTCAAGCCATATCTAAAGTAGGTCAAACCATCTATAATTTTAGATTTTTGGATTGATTAAAATTCCTTACTTATCTTGCACTGAAAAAAAAAATAGGATCCATATTTACTTGTAATTTATTCCTAGTTGAGTAGTTTTGTAAACATTTAAGTATTTGAATAACTTTGTATATTGTTTGAAAGATATATTTGCGTGTCAAGGTTAAATTGAATGCTTGGAGGAAATAAATTCATTATTTCATTTATTTCAATTTGTAATCTACATGGTGACGCAAAAGGATGGTCGGATTTGAACAGCGTAGTACTAATAGGGGGAGAGGGTCGGGTCCACTGCCGCCCATAAAACCACCTACCTGTTGGTAAGTCGACCATAGTATCCAATTTGTCACAAGATGGCTCAGTGGACGGTCGAGCACCACGTTTTTGCTGCGGAACAGTTTCTTTTTCAGAAACAGTGCAACGGTACATGTTTCGACAACTAATGGACTGGTTTCTAATTACAGTAGAGTCCCGCAAACTCGGCACTCGATAACCCGGCAGTCTGGATAACTCGGCCATCACCTGGCTCAGAAAATTTGTGATTTTTGAGTCCAAGTTAAATATGGACTGAAGCCAGCTCAAGTCAAATCAATCGCAACTCATACCAAGGATTTGTTGTACTATTTCTGATGACTTAATACTGACTAGTAATATAAATACGAGAGGTCGTCCAGTGGTCGAAACTCGACCAAAAATATGTAATGTACTCACTTCTCTATTTTCACCCCACACTGTAAATAAAACATGTGATTGGAGTTTCTTCCATTTGTTTTGATTTTCTGTTTATATTTCGTTGTTATTTCGTCACCAGCATGGCAACGCATAAAATCCATGTTAATTTTTTCAAATTTTCAATCTCATTTTTTGTGCTTATCTTTGAGCCTATTTAAATTTATAAAGGGATTCTGCACACCTACAGGAGAATTGCTTTCTAACGGTATGCGCAGATTTACCCCACGATGCACACAAGCTGAGAAAAAAGGTTTTAAAGAAACATGCTTGCCTATTAATATATAGATAGATAAATAAAAAAGGCGGATAAAAAGCTTAAAAATTGTATTGTTATTATTTTTAACCCTAGTTTCCGATAACCCTGCATATCACAGACTCGGCAACCTTCCAGTCCACATTACGCAGAGTTTGTGGGACTCTACTGTAGAAGATCAATATCACGTTGGGCGACTGCATTTCAGACAGCAGGGTCCGTCATGAACGGTAAATAAACTGGACTTCCACGAACGGCAGTTACTCCAAAAACATAGAGACCGTAAGAGCATCAGTGCTTCAAAGTCTGCTACATTCTTAGTTTTTATGTGTTTATTTTTATTTTTACATTTTTATGGTTTGATTTGATATAGCCTACTAGCAACTTTGTAACTTAAAAGGTTATTTTTTTGTAATGGGGAATTTGAAAGTGTCCAGAAACGTGTCAGTAAAATTTATGTGTAAAATCATTTGCGTTATATTAATTTTAAAAGCATCCTTTTTGGACTACCTATATATATATATACAGACTTAAGACATCTCAAATCCCGCTAATCAAAACATCCGGTTAACTTGAACCAAATTTTGGGAAACACGCTGCTGTATTAAAATGCAATGTGATCTTAGATACTAACCAGCCGACCAGCTGATACCAGTCCAGCAGACTGCGTATTTGTGTTAACCAAATTGTTCGTGAATGAATATTGATCACTAGAATAAATTGTTATAATCACATTGTCTAAGTAAGACCTAAGTAAGAGGTTAATTTATCTTGTATCGTCTTGTGACACTTATGTACCGCCTCTTAAGGCCGGATAAGTATGACCGACTTTTTTACCTAAGATCAGGCCAGGCTACAAATTTTGAAATGGGGTTGGGCAAAAATTAATTATTGGTATTGGTTTTTTAAAGAACTAATTATAATACTACTATTGGTTTATACATATATTGTACACATGATCTCCACCATATCGCGGCAAAATTGTTAATGTCTTCTGCAGTCATGGCAAAACAGAGACCATCTTCTGTGGTCACAGCTAAATTGTGAAAGCTATGTTTACTGTGATCATGGCAAAACCGTGAATATCTTCTGCAATCACTTCAATAACACAATTATCTCCCGCGATCAGTGCATACCGTGAACTGAACATAAACACTAATACCGAAACCCCGGTCTGACAGGCCCACGGGAATTTTCAAAAACACATGTTGGCAACACTGTTTACTTGGTAGATTCCATTCCCCCAATACCTTCCCCCCTTTTCCTCCCCTACCTATTGATATATTATTTGTTCATTTTGCATGGGTGCCGTGACCTTGACAGGTCGTCTGTTCATAACATGTCCGTCTCAGAAGCCCAGCGTTAGTGTATTTTAAAGCGGGGTCTCACAGACCGAGGGTTTCGGTTTGTGTGTTTCTAAGCGGGGTCCATTATTTTTCAAATGGGGTCTCACAGACTGGGGGTTTTGGTTAACGTCAGCCTAGGTGGGGTTTCGGTATTAGTGTTAAGTCCCTGTTTTACAATTGGATACAAGACAACCCTTCTGGTACGATACATTTCAGGTACTGAATCAATATACCATGCTGCTTACGTGCTACATTATCAGTTCCATTTTTTAGTGAATTTCCCATATAAGGAATAAGCTATTACTACAGGTCTCATGGTAAGACCTAGACCTGGGACCGATTTACTTTTTCGTTTCAAGGAGGTTAGCTAACTGATGTCAGCTGAGTCTTCCAGAGGACAGTATGGTTTAAAAAATCATTACAGTAGTAGTCCTACCTGTGTGTGGATAAAGGTGATGTGGGGACTTAAGTCGTAAAAACAAAAGTTTTAGACTTAGACCATGCATGGAATTGAAACAAGATGCAAAATAAAAATAAAACGCAATTTCCGATTCTGTGCATGATTTCTTTTTAGCTTTGTAGTTTAAACCAATCATATGTTAGTATGTTGACTATTAAGATAAACCAGAATACAGGATATTCCATGGCATTCGTGTGGGTGGATTATACAGGAATTGTTTGGGCCAGGTGAGCGGGATATTTGTTTTATTCCTTTGGAAATACTGATTTAGACCTAGTCTTAATATATTTTAAATTTATCCTCTAATATTTTTTATTTGGAATAGCTGGACCTGTTTTGTTTCAACTTTGTTTGGAGTGGAATTTTTAAATCACTGTAAATAAGTTGTACTTTTTGTATGAAATGTTATTTAATAGTGACACACAAAGAAACTGTCTCCTTAACGTTAAATTATGAAACCAGCAAAACTAAATTGTGTTGGAATCATATGAGGGCATTGGCCATGAACTTTTTTAAACTACCAATGAAAACATTGAAAACCATGAATTCTGCATGAATTTTTTGATCCCACTATGGTGGCAACACTGAAATTCGGTCTGGTATAAGTCTAGATTTAGTTGTACAAAGTTTAACAATAATACAGTACGAGGTGTTAGCCCGTCCTACGTACGGGGATTCAGTAGTCAGTTAAAACCGTGTACAATTCAGATCAGCTAGTTTACACAGATAAAGACAAAGTTTCTTGCAGTTTTAATGTGAAAAATCATCTTGTAAACTAATGTTGTGTTACCAAATATGTTTTTATTCCATCATAGGCCTATGCATTTTAAATCCGATAATTTCTGCAACAGCATTTCTGCAATTTTTACGATGTGAAAAGCGTTGAAGTGAGATTTGCAGCCGATTCGCACAGACACACACTGATTATAAAGTAGCCTCCAGTAGAGAGAGTAATAGTCAATTGAGAAGTGTATAGACCTAGTCAACGATACTACCTTCCATAGCATACCTGCCTCTTCCATAATTATTATCACCACAATACAACTAATATACACAATTTCCAGTAGGTCTGAATAGAAACGACCTAAAATAAAACGATAATATCCAATAAAATTCACAGTACAGTACACATAATTTAACTTTGGTGTCCTAACATCAAAACTAATCGTCACGCCTATCCTTTATATAAATTTCACTGAATTAATTACTAAATAAAAATAAGTGTAAACAAAGAAAAGTAAGAACAATAACAGTTTGTTTTGAAACAGCTGTTTGGTTTAAATAACATTCATTTGAAAAAAAGAACTGGTCACATGTAGCAGGAATATAAAAAGTAAACACGCTAGTAAAGCTAATGACGTGATTGTCAATGTTTATTATCCATATCGTTATCAGTTCTATCCTTGATAATTACCCACCCTCATTGAATAAATGTACATCGTAATTTCCATATTAGTTAATTTAAACTACAACATATTCATAGTTAAAATAAAAGTGATATTTTCACGTTTAACGTAACCACAACTGAACACGATTTCATAAAAGGATGGTTTGTCTAATTGCAGTATCCTAGGTCAATGTTGATGCTTTGTTAAATCTATGTCATCCATCTGTTTATCTTTGTATAAAACCCGGCTGAGGTTGTGGTGGTAATTTAAAATCAAGATTCCTGATTATTCTTGATCTTCTTTTTATGACATCAATATTTCCGGGACTAATCCAAACAAAGTTAAATCAGACAAACATTAATTGTAAACAAAAATCTACCATGAAGAATTAAAAAATGTAAACATTGTTATTTTCCTAATTTTTCTTGAAAAGTGTAGCAGTAAAATAATTTGCATTTATCCTTTTTATTAAGACTCGTGTACAGAGCCTCGATTCGTACTGTGGTTTAATTAATTTTGGTTAAAACTGTGGTTTAAACTGTGGTCTAATTATCTCTACTAATCTTACTTATTTCCTATAACCAATGACAAAATTAGAGTAAATAAAATAACCTCATAGTTCTATAGTTTATATTTAACCAGCTTAGTTAAAACAAATTATATTGCTCTAAAACAAATCGAAGAATACAAAGATTGATTTAAAAAATAATTTGAACATCCTAGTATTTTACTATGTATATGAACATATCAATGATTAGCATTACACGTAGTATAAATAAGTCAACCCTAAGTATGTCTTTACATTTTTATCCAAATGCTGAATTTGTGACACAAAAGCTGAATGTTTACAGCTGTTATGTTAAGCAAATTATTTTATGCCAAAAGCTAGTTTAGAATCTTAGCGACGCCTGCTAGGCTTTAAAAAAATTAAAACTTAATTTCTAAAAAACTGGGACCCTAAACTTATGGCTTCGACATTCCCTAGTTCTCAAAATTATCTTTCTTTCAACACAAAAATCATGAAAATCCGTCGAGTAGTTGATTCAGAATCGTGAAATAAAAAAACACTGTTTCATTTTAATATTATAGATAGATATCTAATTCAGTATTTTCTCAACACTATAAATCTGGAGATCACTTAGCTTATTGCTAATAACTTTTAAATGGAGGGGAAATCGACCAAAGTGGATGTGATATTCTGAAAGAAAATAAAATTTACTACAAATAACTAGTATGCATTTCTTGAAAATACTTAATAGAGAGGCAGCCAAAAGCTTGCTACAAATAGAAACTTGAAAACAGTAACTTGATAAAAGTAGTTTTTAATGTATTTTTGTTATTTTTACTTTTTCACCACAAATATTTAATAAAATCACACTTTCATCATTATTCGCAAATCTACATGAATTATAATTTCTATAATTTCTTCTTTATAATTCTAATGGGCTTTCCAATGACCCATTAATTAACAAAGTCGATCCAAAATATGGTGGCAACCCTGAAATCGGTCCAGTAAAGTCAAGATTTAGATGTACAAAGTTAAACAGAATCATCCCTAACTCAGTATTTTCTCATTACTATAAATTTGGAGGTCGTTTATCTTTTTTGCAAATAACACTTAAATGGTGAGGAAATCGACCAAAGTGGAAGGTGATATTCTGAAATAGAATACAATTTCCTATAAATTGATACAATGCACTTCTCGGAAATACTCAAAAAAGGCAGCCAAAAGTCGCACCCAAATAAAAAGAGTGAAAAACACCGTGTTCAATGTATTTCTTATGGAAAACATGCTTTTTTAAAAATTTTTCACCAAAAATTATAACAACAACAAACTTTCATAATTATTTACAAATCTACACAAATTAAGCTTTCCAACGACCCATTAATTAATAAAATCGGCCCAGTAGAACTCTAGATTTAGTTGTACTAATATTTTTAAAACTGAATTGTATATAAGTAGATTAGTATGTTATGATCTTTCTTTAATCTTTATAATTCTAAAAAAAATAGTGGAACCCCCCCCCCATTGCTGTAAAAACTACGGTTCAAAAGTTATTGCAGCTTATGTGATTCCCCTATAAAAATATCTTAGGTATTCCCACCATGAACCCATGATAATGGTTATTGATAAGCGAATGGGAGAAATTATGTGTCAGATAGCTGATACCGATTATTTGTAATGTATAAAGTGATTTATTTAGTTATATGTTTTGTAATTTGACTTTGTCAATGATAATAAGATTCAATAAGATTTATTGCAGCCATTAATTTTGTAATAGGCATTGTTACAATAGTACTTAAAAATAGATCATACATCAATTATAAATTTCAATACATACAATATCCTATAGAATCTAAACATGATATGTCACTATTTAAAAATTCTTCCAGCGTGTAGAATGCTTTTGATTTTAAAAACTCTGTAATTTTTCTTTCAAATTGGTTTAAAGGTAGTTCACGAAAACAAGTGGGTAGCTTGTTGAAGAAAATATGTTGTATGTAAAAATGGCTATTTAAAGTTTTTGAAAGTCTGATTTGAGGTGTGACCAGGTTGTTTTTGTGCCTCGTGTTGTATGGATGAGAATAACTAGAAAATTTTAAGGGGTTGTTTTTTATATGGATTAAATTACAAAGAATGTACATGGATGGCAGTGTAAGCAAATTTAAATTGGAAAAGTGATCCCTACAGGATTCATGATCTTGCAATCCTAGCATGGCTCTAAGAGCTTTCTTTTGCCAAACAAATGCTTTCTGAGCTAAGTGTGAACCACCCCAGAGACGCAAACCATAAAGCAGCTGTGAGTGAAACAAACCGTAGTAAGTCATTTTTAGAGTGTTAAAACTCACACATGATCTAAGTTTTCTCAAGAGACAGGTTATTCTAGCCAATCTTTTACAAAGTTGTGTAATGTGGTTATCCCAGCTTAGTCTGTTGTCAAGATGGATGCCTAAGAGTTTGACTGTTTTATAAGCATCAGTGGGTTGATCTTTTTTTAGTGAAAAGTAAATGTATTCTGTTTTTTCCTCATTGATAGCCAAATTATTGATTTTATACCAGAATTTAGCACAGTTTAGGGCATGATTAAGATCGTACTCAACTGTTAAAACATTATCATCTTTACAGAACAGGGTAGTATCATCAGCATAAAGTATTGATTGAGTAGGGATATTAAAACTAAAGTCGTTAATAAAAATCAAAAACAGGAAAGGTCCTAAAATGGACCCCTGCGGAACACCAGCATTCAATTCCAAAATATCAGAATAATCATCTCCTATCACGACCTGCTGTTTACGGTTTTCCAGGTAGGATTGAATGATGTTGAGTTCACGGTTCCTAACGCCATAGTAATATAGTTTATCAAGAAGAATGGGATGGGAGATTGTGTCGAAGGCCTTAGTCAAATCAATAAGGCATGTACCTGTCACCAACTTGTCTTCAAACCCTTGCAAAACTTGGTTAATTAATTCTTCTACAGCCATTGTGGTTGAACAGTTGGCTCTAAAGCCGTATTGACCTTTATATAAAAGGTTATTAACAGTAAAAAAGTGTTGAAGCTGCTCAAGCATACATGATTCAATTATTTTTCCTAAAATTGGAACCAAAGCTATTGGACGATAGTTTGATGGGACATTCTTGTCGCCTTTCTTGTGAATTGGCGTTACTCTGGAGGTTTTTAAACAATCAGGAAACTTTCCTTCAATTAAAGCAAAATTTATAAGATGTGTTAAAGGTTCCAGGATAAAATTAACTATGTATTTAAGAGTAAAATTGGAGAGTCCAAACAAATCTTCACTACGGGAACCACTGAGTTTACAGACCAAAGAATGCACTTTATGTTTATCAACAAGGGTCCATTTAAATATCTGGATGTCAGGAGTATTAGAATATGGCTTAGGGCAGTTACTCAACAATTCAAGATGAGTAATTACATTATCATCATTATAGAGTTTATTTTGTGTGTTGTTTGAAACAGAAGTAAAGAAATTCTTTAGAGTGTTAGGTGTTAAAGTTGTTTTGGAAAATGTTTTAATCTGTCCTGATTCTTTTCTGATTTTTTCCCAAGCTTTTTTACATGTATTTTTGGATTGGGCAATTAGTTTGTCATTAGCTGTGATTTTGGCTTCTCTTATCTTGTTTGTATACATGCTTTTGTACCTTTTAAAATTGTTCCTATCATTTACATTCTTGCTATATTTCCATTTGTCATACTATAACAATAAATATTTACGCATTGACTCCAATTCTGTAGTAAACCAACTATTACATCTATTATTCATCTTAATATTACTTTTCACATTTACAACAGGACAGCATAAATTAAAATCTGAAATTAAAACCCTAAGAAAATATGTAAAAGCTAAGTTTATGTCAAGGTTTAGAATACAAGGTAGACCAATCGATATTACTTATCCTATTGACAAAATGTTCAAGTCTTGTTGATGATACAAGGCGTTTCCTATAGTAAGAATCCTCTTTGTTAACTAAGCAACTGTTATTCTTATTTTTACCAATCAAGAATTTTGAAACCACTCCAGCATGATCCGATATTATTCCCTCCCCAGTAATAAAACAGTGAAGCAAGGCTTGATTGTTGACATTAGTGAAAATATTGTCTAAACAAGCAGTTTGTCTGGTTGGTTTGACATTGGTTGGGAACAAATCAAATGACCTAAGTAAATTCAAAAAATACTTTCCCTCTTTATCATTAACGTTTAAGATGTTTATATTGAAATCACCAGCCAGGGCGATGTACTTGAAAAGTTTAGGTTTAGATGAAACAAACAATAGAAGATCTTCCAATTTTGTACAGAACTCTGTAAAGCTTGAATCAGGGGTACGATAAATAGATAAAACTAATAAGTCATAATCTAACAATCTAACAGCACATACCTCAAGTAAAAAGTTAAAGCTAAAATCAGACAAATCTATTTTTTCATAATTTACACAACGTTTAACATAAATTGCAGTACCTCCATGAATCAGTGGAAATTGACCACAATAATTTGTGCCTAATTCAAAATTTTCTGGGACATAAAAGTTATTTAAGATATTTAATGTAGGCTTATATTACTTATGGCGAATGAAGATTTATTATTATTAATATTACTATTTTTATCCCAGTAACTTATAGTTTATAATTATTTCAGCTTTTTTGATAGAGAAGTAGAAGAAGAGCCAGAAAATACTAGATTTCGTATGAAGAAAGGAAATGTGACCCAGTCTAATCCCTCTAAAAATCAATTTTATTCCTTAAGATCCAATGAGCCAACTTGTTCCAAGATAGATTCAACATCATATCCACCTATTATAACTACAACCAGAGAGGAGCCGTCATCCAGTGTTTTTAATACTAGTAGCTTCTGGGAGAATAAAGAAGATGATGATGAAGAAGAGGAAGATGATGATGATGATGCACTTGCATTTAAAAGAAGAAAAACTGTGAAAGAACAAAAGAAAGTATCGGTAAGTGGATTTTCCCAATAATCTAATGTAGGTACTTAATATTGAGACTTATCAAATGTAAATAAATTATTTTAACTTAAGTAAATTTTGGACAAAAAGAACTATATAATTATTTTTCTTGGAATTGTGATTAGTTGCATGAAATATGAGTGTTGTCTATGTATTGAGCCCTGCATGATGCAGTGCTTTTACAATAAGTGGTTGGTTTAAGTTAACCAAAGAACTTCCAATCGGTCATTTCCAGGGCCTGATTTCCCAATAGACCTGAGGCCCATAAGGGGCGCAAGCTTCCAGGGGGCTCACGCCTGAGGGGGAGATATTCTTTTATAATATCCAGAAATAAAAATAAATAAAGCTTTAAATATATTTAACGAATTGACTTTTTTATCTGGCTTATAAGTCATTCTAATTTTAAAGTTCATTAGAAGAAATAATTGTTGGTTAGATAAAACTCTTTTCAACATTACACATCAACTTTGTTTAACATTGGTTATAAATAAACATGGGTAAAGATTATAGGAATGTTATTGAGTGGTAGGCATCATATTACCACCTTGCCTACTGCTCAGACCTTGCTACCTTGCGTTACTAGGCCTACAGGCCGGCGCGCACTATCCCGACCATGACCACAACTAAACTCCTGACCGGTCGTTGTCGTTCACCTTGCGAACAGAGCATGACCCGACCAAGGCAACGAATGTTAAACAGTAATCTGTAAACTTCAGTGTCAAGATGGATGTTGAAGAAGTGGCTAAATGAGTAACGTTCTTACGTCCACTAAACATCAGTGTGATCTCCTCCTAAGCTTCTTTCTTCATCCCTCTTTTGGAATAATCTGCTGATAGATCGAATAAACAGGATCCTCCTTTAATTGTCACAATAAAACTCTCCCTAAGCAACTTTGTCACTGCAACAAAGTCGTGCGAAAAAAAGTTGCCAAGTGTGGCCGTAGTCTTTTTGTTGGGCCCATAACTTAAAATCGAAGTTTTTCAACTCAAGGTGCCATGGCGTGCCAACAAAATATCAATAATTTAGGCTATTCCAATAGCTTTTCACTCTATCCTTATATCTATCCCTATTTTAGTTTTACTGAAAATCTTACTTAAATAAATTAAAGGACGATACATTTGTGACAGTTTAAGCCCAACACCAAGTATGTGGCATAAATAATGGCCGAAATACTCTCTGTGTGTCTGTCTGGGCAGCTGTCACGACTAAATTCTAAACTGATACAGCCAAAATTAAGCACAAAGATGGTCCACACATATATAGGAATGTCATAGGCCTATTCCCTTCCCTTAGTTCATCTCAGATTACTCCCCTTGTTTCAAATAAAATAATTACCTTCCATCAATTATTGCTGACTAGTTCTACCATTCTAAAATTTTGATCTGACTACTCAGGTGATGATGTTTATTCCGACATTTTACTTTCTCCTACTACTGTATACATAGTATATGGAGGAAATATTGTTTTTGTGTCCAAAGCACCCCAGCCAGACTATATTTCTCAATGTCACACAGCTGAATTACCACAAACACAACAAATTACCACAAACATCTAGACAAATTCTTAAATTTAAGAAACAGGCCAATTTGTATTAATTTTGTTTTAGATTTTAATCAATGAAGCAGAGACAAAATCAAGATCTTATAAAAATAGTGCCCACGAGAGCTTAAACCCAAGTAAGTATTCCTAAGTTAATCTTTATATTCCTAACATAACTTATTGGTTTGTTTACAGCATAAAACTGTGGATGCGTTGATTCTCGATACCACCTATACATAGTTATCAGTATCGAGAATCGATCGTCAAAAGTTGTTTCCAATAATGATACCCAAAACACAATTTTAAAAATCTTCAGCTTGCACTATGGGTTAAAGTTATATAATTTTAAAATAAAAATACTACATTTTTAAACGCACCAACAAGTACAAAATAATTTATAAATATGTCGAGAGAATAAACAGCCTACTTTTAAGATTTAATACGAAAAAACACCAATTTACAACCTTCACCTATTGAACTATTATTATCCATTGCATGCACCCCAAGTTATTTGTTTTAAATCTTACAAGTATTTATTCTGTTGACATATTTATAAATTATTTTCCATTTTCTAGTGCGTTTAAACGTGGTATTTAAAAAAAGTATTTTTATTTTTAATTATTTTCTAGGTTATAACCAAAATTGTTATGAAACTCCAGCTGTTGTCAGAAATTAAAAGTGAGAAGAAGAACATATGTTAATTTTAAACAGGAAATAAGTTTGCTAATCAGTTTGCTACACCGTTTACAAACATGTACTGACTTGGTTGAAATGAAATATTTGAATTTTGGTTGGCGAAAATATTACTCTGAAAAAGCAAGAGAGCCTAGATAAATTGATATACTAAAAAGAAAACTGAATTAACACTACTGCATTTCTTAGTAATCATTGAAAGAGCCGATTTGAAAACTATGGAAACATAGAAAGTCATAGAACAAGGAGAAAAAATAGAAATAATGTTTTTTTTATTTTCTTTTATTTGTAATCGTTATTATGGACAACCTAATGCCGCTGTGTGTAAGGCTATTTGTAGAATAAACTAAAAAACAAGATCAACTTTTGAAAAACGATAAGATATTTTGATTATAGCCTATCGATCTGTTATGTACATCTTGAGTATTTTATTATCTTTGAGTCGAATCTTTTAAAGTCATCAGAAATTATGAATGCTATTCCTTTTAAAATGACGCCTGTAATACTTAGCAATTGCTCGAATTCGAGCAACAGGGACACTAGTGTTATTTAATTTACAATCTGTTCAACAAAAATAGAACAATAAGCAAATATGATAAAATTTAAACACTGTCAGTAGTTAGTCTTTATCCAACAATAAAGCTAACACACAAACTTTGCATATTGGTACAAAGTTTAAAGTCCATAAATTTCTAAAAACGACTACTCAGGTCCAAAACATGGCATCTTTTCAATCTATATATGCAGTTGCTGTTGTCCAACAAATTCAAAGCAAGGTAGTTGGTATGGTACTCTAATTTCTTTAAGTATTTGGCACTTAACCTTGAAATTTCGTCTTTAACCGTTGGGGTTCGACTGTCTCATTTAGAAAATTTGTAGCAAAACCTGTACCTCTTAACCTCTGCTCTTAGAACTGTCAAATTGAAGTATTTACAGCTGACTTCATAGTCAAGGACCTGACTAGGGTTCTGTGTGCTTGTCGTGTATAGAGAATTTTGCTTTTGCATTTCAATAACAGTGTATTAGGAAGTGTTTTCCACTCGGGTGTCAAGTTCGCACCTGGTACGTTTTCGAGCTATGACGTCATCAAGATGGCGGCTCGGCAATTTTTAAATGCGTATATTTCTCAAACCGTATAACAGATCGGGATGATTCTTTTTTTGTTTAAAAGATATTTTTACAAGCTATCTTTTTTGTATTTACACATTTGTTGTAAACTTAATATTTACCGCACAATATTGAAAAACGTTTTTATTGTTATTATATTTATTGTTTTGCTTATAACTTCTTAACCGCTGATAAAATCAAATACCACCCGTTGCAAAAGTTGCAGATAATTCTATACCCTTTCCAATGATACCAAACAATATGTGATTAGACCTAAAAATAAAGCAAAGAGATTGAATAAACCGTAAAAAACACTGAAAGTGGTGTACGTTCCGGGAAAGATTTAGTCCTGGTCATGACTAGGGTTCTGTGTGCATGTCGTGTATAGAGAATTTTGCTTTTGCATTTCAATATAGGTGTCTTAGGAAGTGTTTTCCACTCGGGCGTCAAGTCCGCGCCTGTTACGTTTTCCAGCTATGACTTCATCAAAATGGCGGCTAGGGCAATTTTTAAATGCGTATATTTCGCATACCGTTTAACGGATAGGGATGATTCTTTTTTTGTTTGAAAGATAATTTTACAGGAAATGTTTTTGTATTTACACTTTTGTTGTCAACTTAATATTTATCTTACTATATTATAAAACGTGGTTTTTAAAATCATTGTTTTTGAATTTTTCCTCATAACTTGTTAAACGCTTATAGAATGAAATAACTACCCATTACAAAAGTTGTAGATAATTTTATGCCCTTTCCAACGATACCAAACAATTAATGTTTGAAACTAAAATAAAAGCCAAGAGATTAAATAAACCGTTAACTAACACTTAACATGGTAGAAAGTCCAGAAAATATTGAGGCTGGAACAATTCTTCAAATGCGTATATTTTGCATACTGGTTAACGAACCGGGATGATTCTTTTTTTGTTTGTAAGATATTTTTTAAGCCTATCTTTTTTGTATTTACACCTTTGTTGTTAACCTACTATTTGTCAAAAAGTTATAAGCAAAAGTAAAATAAAAACAACAATTAAATGTACATTTATTAATATTGTGGGATAAATAGTAGGTTAACAACAAAAGTGTAAATAGAAAAAAGATAGACTTAAAAAATATCTTACAAACAAAAATAGAATCGTCCCGGTCCGTTAACCAGTATGCGGAATATACGCATTTGAAGAATTGTTCCAGCCGCAATATTTTCCGGACATTCTACCATGTCAAGTGTTAGTTAACGGTTTATTTAATCTCTTGGCTTTTATTTTAGTTTCAAACATTAATCGTATGGTATCGTTGGTAAGGGCATAAAATTATCTACAACTTTTGTAATGGGTAGTTATATTATTCTATAAGCGTTTAACAAGTTATGAGGAAAAATTCAAAAACAATGATATTAAAAACCACGTTTTTTAATATAGTGAGATAAATATTAAGTTGACAACAAAAGTGTAAATACAAAAAACATTTCCTGTAAAATTATCTTTCAAACCAAAAAAGAATCATCCCGATCCGTTAAACGGTATGCGAAATATACGCATTTAAAAATTGCCCTAGCCGCCATTTTGATGACGTCATAGCTGGAAAACGTAACAGGCGCGGACTTGACGCCCGAGTGGAAAACACTTCCTAAGACACCTATATTGAAATGCAAAAGCAAAATTCTCTATACACGACATGCACACAGAACCCTAGTCATGTCCAGGACTAAATCTTTCCCGGACCGTACACCACTTTCAGTGTTTTTTACGGTTTATTCAATCTCTTTGCTTTATTTTTAGGTCTAATCACATATTGTTTGGTATCATTGGAAAGGGTATAGAATTATCTGCAACTTTTGCAACGGGTGGTATTTGATTTTATCAGCGGTTAAGAAGTTATAAGCAAAACAATAAATATAATAACAATAAAAACAACGTTTTTCAATATTGTGCGGTAAATATTAAGTTTACAACAAATGTGTAAATACAAAAAAGATAGCTTGTAAAAATATCTTAGAATCATCTCGATCCGTTAAACGGTTTGCGAAATATACACATTTAAAAATTGCCGAGCCACCATCTTGATGATGTCATAGCCCGAAAACGTACCAGGTGCGAACTTGACACCCGAGTGGAAAACACTTCCTAATACACCTATATTGAAATGCAAAAGCAAAATTCTCTATCACGACATGCACACAGAACCCTAGTCAGGTCCAGGACTATCAATAAAGTGATATACTTGACTATTTACATGCTTCTAAAATGTAAACAAACATTGAAACTATGGAAGGCTCATGGGGTGTATCCCAAGGGAAATATGGAAATAAAATGATTTAATATTGCATTGTCATCCATTTTTGAGCTATGTTTCAAGTTTAAAGTCCCCAGCTCATCAGGAAGTAAGTTATAAGTCTCTAGCTCATCAGGAAGTTAGTGTAAAATCAATTGCAAAATTTGTATTGGACAAGAAAGCAAGCTAACAAAAATAAGCCCATGGGGCGTATCCCAATAGAAATATGAAAATAAAATCTTACTAATATTATAAATGTGAAAGTTTGTTTGTTTGTTTGTTTGTTTGTTTGTTTGTGTGTTTGAAGGTCAATCACGCATAAACCACTGGATGGATTGGGCTGAAATTTGGCATGATGATAGCTCACATTCCCGATTAACATAAGGCATATTCTTATCTCAAAAATCCCTTCGGGCTCCGCCCCAGTGGCTCTGTAGTTCCCCATGTTAACCTTATGAGTATCTATAATATTAAAACGAAACAGGGTTTTTTTATTTCAAGATTCTGAATCAACCACTTGACCGATTTTCATGATTTTTGTGTTGAAAGAAAGATAATTTTGAGAACTAGGGAATGTCGAAGCCATAATTTTAATTTAGGGTTTCAGTTTTTTAGAAATTAAGTTTCAATTTTTAAAAAGTCTAGCAGCCGACGCTAGCAATTCAAAGTATTTTCAGTGCTGGTTAAACTAACAGCTGGTTATAAACTGTCATTGAAATGTTTATGTTACAAGTTGTTTGTATACAAAAATATTGTTCTTCGGTGTTGGCCTGCATACTATTTCACTTTAAAATTTAGTTTTTTTTCTACCGTGAAGGATCTGCTTTATCAGGAAATGTGTTATTTTGATCTATACATTTCAAACAGTTTAATCAAGTTTTGTCGTAAATGCAAACTGTGTAAGTAAGTTACTTAGTTTATGCCATGGAAATTTCATCTCGTATTTGGGAAATCTTTTTTTTTTAATTTATTGCTTAATCGTTTAAGATATAGTTAAGTGGTTTACGTGTTGATACTTCTTTTTCTGTATGTCCGAATGTATGTGAGTCATACTATAATTTTGGTTAGTAATGAGAGCGTCATGTGGTGTAGGTCTCTATAAAACTGTCTAATGAGCTGCAAGGTGCAGTAGAAACCAAAGTCGACTCATACCATACCATAACTCTCCCCGTAGTATTGAAAAGTGCAAACAAAATATACTAACCAGTTCAAGATAACGGAGGTCGAGATAAAAACAAACAGAGAGCTAAGAGAAATGTGTAAACACCCAGATATAGGGGTGCTTTCCAGAAGTAAAAGGCGCGGATGGGCAGGCTATGCGTGGTGGATAGGAGATAAATCAACTTTTAAAAGTATATTCCATAGTACCACAAGATAAAAGACCACTTGGAAGACCAAGAATTAAGTGGAAAGACCAAGTTATGAAATAAATCCTCAGACCGGGATCTAAATTAGAAGAGACAGGGGATGGAAGAGAAATGGGTGGCCAGAATCCTCATAAGGTGTCAGTCTGTGGTCACGGAGGTAAAGGTGCGGTAAGTATATATATAAGTGGTATATGCAATTGTAGCAACTCTACTCAATACCAGTGTGTGTGAATCGGTCTCCAATCTCACTTCAAGTCTTTTCAAATCGACGCAACTGCTATTTTAAAGTAAAATTATCGAATTTAAAATGCATATCGCTATATTTTAGGTATATAATCGGATGGAAGAAATAGGTAGTCACGTGACATTTGTTAATAAGGTCAACAATTAAAAATAACAATTAATTGTTAATTAGGTTGTTTTGGGGGCAGTTGGCCTCCATTAAAACTGCCAGAATTTGTCACTGTGCGTGTAAACTAGATGTTCTGAACTATTCCGTTTTAATTGACTACTCGATTCCCGTACGTAGGACGGGCCAACAGCTCGTTCATATTTAAAGAGAATTAAAGAATTTAGTCAGCTGTTTCAACTAAAAAAGTTGGTTCTATGATATACAAAAGCATTAAAAAGTTATAAGATTTACCAACAGGGTGCAGCACTATATTTTTTTTGCATTTATGTAAACAGCTAATTTGAACTAAGCAGCAACAAACAACTGTGATATGCAATGAGAACTGTCAAAGTAGGATTGTTTACAGTTATGTTTATATGTTTAATGTCATGAATAATTTGTGATTTTTTATGTTTGTAATACTTTATTTTTCTTTATTGTTAAGGTCAAGAGGAACATTATGGCTATGGTAGATGTGTAATACCATAGTACCTATACCGTCAATTTAAAGAAGCAAATTTTATCAAACTTTGTCCTCCCCCATTGCAAACGCAAAGCTTGAGTATAACTGCAATAAGCAATTTAAACTTATATGCCAACCCCGTACGAAGGAAGGGTACTCTGCTAGTAATTTAATATTGCATTGTCATCCATTTTTGAGCTATGTTTCAAGTTTCAAGTCTCTAGCTCATTGGGAAGTTGGTTTAATATCGATTGAAAAATTTTTAACGGACAAGACAGCAAGCAAAAAAATTTATAGTAAAATACCCCCACTGCAGCAAACCTGCAGACTAAGCGAATTTCCATTTCCCTGATTGAATTTACACTAAAATGTCTTCTTTAAAATATCACATTTATTCCCTTTTTAAATATAACTAATGTACCTTTTGCTCGAATTAGAGCAATTGCAAAGTATTACAGGCGTTATTTTAAAAAGTCATAATTTCCGATGACGTTAAAAAAATCGACTCAAAGATTATGGAAATACTCATGATGTACATAACAGTTCGATACAATCAAAATTTCTTGTAAATATCTTATAATTTTTCTAAAGCTGATCTTGTTTTTTAGTGTCTTTTACAAATGTTTCCCACTCATAGCCACATAAGGTTGTCCATATTAATGATTATTAATAAAAAAAAAACATTATTTCTATTTCTTCTACTTTGTAGTGTTTTATGACTTTCCCATGTTTCCATAGTTTGCAAATCGGTTCTTTAAATGATTATGCAGCACAGTGTTGATTCAGTTTTCTTTTTAGTATTCCATTGTAATATTTACGCCAACCCAAATTCAAATGGTAAATATTTAATTTCAACCAAGTCAGTAAATGTTTGTAGGACATGTTTCTCCTTAAATTGAAACTAAAATATTAACAGCAATTAAATTATCCAGCTGATCATAATGTAAACAAATATGTTCTCCATAAGGATAACATGGGAACTTTAAAAGCCACTAGGGCAGAGCCCAAGGGACTTAAAAAAATGTAAGGTAATTTAATTTATGTTTGTTAGTTATGGCTTCTGCTTCTATGTTTATTTCAATGTGTTGTTTTAGATGAAATTGTGAAGCTTGGTGAACCATTTCATGGTTTCTGTCTCAATTTCCTGAGGAGTTCCGTCCCAAAAAGTGACAATCATAAATGTAACTTGAAACATGAGGTAAAGTGATTTAGCTTAAACATAATTTTAGAATAAAAGGTTTCCTATTATTCATTTCTTTTTCAATACAGGTCAACAAAAAAAAAGATAAAAGAAAACAGACTTAAATCCAAGTAAGAAAAGCCCTTTTCACACCAGCGTCCTGGACGTCCGGTAAGTTTTTGTTTCAACAAATTGCGGCCCATGCTATCATATGAGACCGTTCACACTGCACCTCCATTACGTCAGCGACTGTCCCCTGTGAATTGCTCGGAGAGCGATTTTTCTGAAATGACCATTGTGTAAATGGCCTAGCGCATGCGCAGTGAACACTTCAAAACCACGTGCTCCACTCCCGCGGCATCATTTGCAGTCATGTATCAACTGATGGTTCTTTCCAAAACTCTGAATTTTTTATTAATGGGATGAATCCACCTACTCCTTTTTGAGTATAACGATACTAGGTCGTCATCACTATCACTATCACTCAGTTCCATCCATGTTAATCCATGGGACGGAAAACACTCCAAGGAACTTGAGGATGAGACATTTTTGCACAGTTAACAATATGCACTATTAACACTAATATTAATACACTAGTAGTAGTAGTGAGGGTGTTACTGTTCTGACTACTAATGAACAAGTGGATGCTTTGGAAGTTTCTGTGCGGAGTGGAAGGACCACATACTGGACGTCCGAAAAGCTTGGGACGTCTAGTATGCCGGTGTGAAAAGGCCTTTATCCTAGTATGTTTAAGTTCGTTGTATATTCAAATGTTTCCACCAAATATTGATACACAGTAGGCTTGTATTTTATTATTTTTGAGACATCACAGTGGAAGCAGAACAGAGAAACATCGATTGATAGCTCGATCAACGCTTCCGCTGACAATCGTCTACTCCTACACATCTGTCTGCTGTGCGCTGTCACAATAGATTTCATTAGCTCAAAACTCATGAAAACAGAACTAGTAGCTTATGATTAGGTGATAAGTAACCATGCCAATTGGTTGAATATATAGAAGAAGAAAAACAAGAAACGAAGGACTAAGAAAAAGAAAAACAATGTTTTTGTCATTTTCATCTCTATCTTCTTTTTATATTTTTAATAGAGGTGTGCGAGCCTCAGATTTTCAATCAAGCCGAGCTTTTGAAAAAGACCTTGAGCCTCGAGCTTTTACCGAGCCTAGCTTTTTTCCATTATAAATAAACGTAATTACGAATAATATGTAATGGGTCAAAATTATAGAGGGGTCAAGATTTTATATTTATTATTTAACGAGCTGTACCCGCAGGCTTTGCCCCGTTTAACTTCATAAGTATTCGCATGGCTCAATCACGTCCTGGTTGAAGTTCGTTCGCTACGCTCACTCACCTTTAGGTTGGAGCTCTTTCGCTGCGCTCACTTGCCTTTAGGTTAGCTCGTTCGCTATGCTAACTCACCTCCAGGTTGATATTCGTTCGCTACGCCCACTCACCTTTTAGTTGCAAATTAGCTGTTGTCATTAATAAAAAAATAAAAATAAAAGTGATGCACCCTGTTGGCAATCCTTTTAACTTTAATGTTTTTTAACATCATAGAACAGAACCAACTTGTTTAATTGAAACAGCTGTTAAGATTCATTCATTCCTTTTAAATATGGAAAATCATGAAGTTAACATGTGAAACTCCAGAGCCACTGGGGCGGAGCCCGAAAGCCCGATCAGAATAAAAACTTCTTAGTTAAAAAAAACTTCCTAATTAATGCCCAAAGAATTGGTCTCCGAATTTCAGCCTCCTAGCTAAATGGAAAGTGGGAGAATTAGTGATGAGTGAGTGAGTGAACAGTGAGGGCTTTGCCTTTTATATTGTGTGGAAAGATAAAAATGTTAAGGCATTGTCATCCGTTTTATTGTTTACTAGCAGAGTACCCGTCCTTCGTACGGGGTTGGCATACAAGTATAAAATGCTTATTGCAGTTATGGGTGAGGACATGGTTTAAGATAGTTTGGTTCTTTTGTTCTACCACTGCCATAGAACCCACCACTGAACCATAGAAAAAAGTAAAGGTCTCATTGTGTACCACAGCTTTTTGTTGCTAGTTTGTTCAATTTAGCTGTTGTCATAATTGCAAAAAAATAAAAGTGCTGCACCCTGTAGGTAAACCTTAAAACATGTTAATGCTATTTAATATCATAGAACTAACTTGTGCAGTTGAAGCAGCTGACAATAGTTATTTGTGCAACTAGTGAGCAAAGTGAGTGATTGACGCACTCGAGAGAAATACTTACTCGACTGGAATGGTTTCTCGATTGAGGCAATTGCACTTTCCACTCAAGTTGTACATTATATATATATTTTTTATTTTTTATCCCTATACAGGTAATTCGCCGATTTTCTTAGTAGTATTTATTATTAGTCAAGGCACTTATGATGACGAGTTTCAATGACAAATGGAAGTGATAAAAAACTACAGCGAGAGTTTTTGGACTTTACCGCAATCACGGCTTTTGCTGAAATCTACTTCTATATATAATTCATTTTTAAAAATCTTTGTACAACTAAATTTAGAGTTCTACTGGACCGATTTTATTAATTAATGGGTCATTGGAAAGCTTAATTTGTGTAGATTTGCAAATAATTATGAAAGTTTGTGTTTGTTATGATTTATGGTGAAAAAAAAATCATGTTTTCCATAAGAAATACATTGAAAACGGTGTTTTTCGCCGTTTTTACTTGGGTGAGTCTTTTTGTGACCTTTTTTGATTGTTTCCAAGAAGTGTATGGTATCAATGAAGCTATCAATGAAAGCTGGTATTTCACTAAAGGCTTTTAGACCAAAACATATAGGGTAATGTAATAACTGTTGGAATAGGCCTACATCTTTAATTGAAATAAAAAAATCAAAAAAATCCAATTTATATTTTTTTGTTGAGTAATACATCAGATAAATTAACAATGATGGTTGATGACAAATATGTGCTTGCATACCTTTAGTTTAAGGCCAAAATTATGAAAATTGGTCGGGTAGAAGACCTATAATCCGACTCGGAAAAGAAAAACCAATAACTTTTATAGATGGCAATAATTGGTTTACCAGTAAGCATAATCTAAACATACGAAACATGTGTTAATAATTAAACAGCTTATTGTTTTATTGATATCTATATACAGGGTGAGTTTTAATTGTCCCCCCCCCCCAACTTTTTTCTACATTTTTTCAAATATCAATCCCAGACCACTTCCAAACATTGTTGGGTAGTAAGTACTTCATTTTGACAAGGTGGTCATTTCCGGCCGCCATCTTGGATCTGCCATATTGGATGCAAAATATTTTTTTCAAATGTAAAGGTGGGGTTGTGACCCATTATTTCGAACTAGATTTTTACCTTGATTACAATGCCGCAAACCGTTTTTAAAAATCTTGATTCATTCTGAAGTTATGAGGCCTTTTTAAAACTTTATTTTTAGCCCATTTTAACATTGTGCTTGTACAAACTAAGACCATAATCTCAAAATAGTGCTAGATAAAGATAAGTATACACTACCAGTCATTGCCAACCTATTTCCACTTGGTTATGAATGATGTATTTTTTTCGGCCGTCATCTTGGATCCGCCATTTTGAAATGTGATAAATCATTTTAAATATAAAAGGGGTGTTGTGACCCATCATTTCGGATTACTTTTTTAAGCTGAACTCAATTCCATGGTCCATTTTTTATTTTCATATTTTGATTTTGAAATATTAACATGTTTAACTAAAATATTGCAATGTTTCATAAATAAAACTTGATAACAAAAAATGGATTGCGGCATTGAGTTCAGCTTAAAAAAGTAGTTCAAAATGATGGGTCACAACACACCCTTCATATTTAAAATAATTTATTCCATTTCAAAATGGCGGATCCAAGATGGCGGCCGAAAAAAATATTTCAGTCATAACCAGGTGAAAATAGGTTTACAATAACTGGTAGTGTATACTTATCTTTATCTAGCACTATTTTGAGATTATAGTCTTAGTTTGTAAATGCACAATGTTAAAATGGGCTAAAAATAAAGTTTTAAAAAGGCCTCATAACTTCAGAATGAATCAAGATTTTTAAAAACCGTTTGCGGCATTGTAATTAAGGTAAAAATCTAGTTTGAAATAATGGGTCACAACCCCACCTTTACATTTGAAAAAAATATTTTGCATCCAAGATGGCGGCCGGAAATGACCACCTTGTCAAAATGAAGTACTTACTACCAAACAATGTTTGGAAGTGGTCTGGGATTGATATTTGAAAAAATGTAGAAAAAGGTTGGGGGGGGGGGACAATTAAAACTCACCCTGTATATATATATATATATATAATCCAATGTATGTATGTTTGTTTGTTTGTCCTTTATGGACTAAGAAACCGCTCGACAGATTGTAACGAAACTTTCAGGTATTAACTGATCAAGACTAATAACTTAGGGCCTTATTAGACGAGGCAGCCAAGTTGCACAGCCAGCCAGTCACTGGGCATTGGTTCTTATGGAGCTTATTACAAGAGGGCAGCCAGTTGCGCAGCCACTGTTTGGCTGCCGGCTGGTTGCCGAGCCCGGCGACCGCACAGGCAACCACTGGCTGCTCGTTCTGGTCGCGCTCCTGTGTAGCTTACGGATCTTATTACACTGGGCAGCCAGTCGCCTATTATTAGGCCTAACAACTCAAAAAACTTGATTGGGACATGCGGAAATAATTGAAAAACTTTTATCATCTGCGCAAAGTTCGTCAAAAAGGGTGTAATATAATCCTTTTTTTGTTCTTGATGAAAGAATAGGATGTATATGCATTCTCCTCTTCCTTCGTCTTCTCTTTTTCATGAGTAGCAGAAGAAGCAAATATTCATCTCGCATTCTGACAGCCTCTCTACCCAACAGAACTGTTCCACCAACACTGTTCCACTGTCAACAAGAGACTGGCCTAGTTGGTAATTTTGTGGCTGCCCTGTGGTTGCTCTACTGGTTGCTACGCTAGGCAGCCAGACAGGTGACTGGCTGCCCGGCTGGTTGC